GGGGGGGGGGGGGGGGGGGTTGATGGTATGAGTGCTTATTTCCCATTGACCCTTGAAAACCTCAATTCATATCAATCTGATGTCCAACACAATCAAAATCTTGCTAAAATCCTACAAGCTTAGCTTTCTTAAAGACAGAAAATTTAAAGCAAATAAACTTCACCACCCTATTAACCACCCCACAATTAGATACCCATCAGATCTAACACCTAATATATTTGATTTCTTTTTCCCTTCTAAAGATGGGCATCAAACTTTGTAAACAACATCAGTGGCGAAGCCACATGGTTATAAGAGTGGTCAGCTTGTCATCCTTCGTCGAAAAATTAAACTGTGTATATGTGTAAAATATTACGTTTTAGAGGTATATAATACATATTGAACATCCTTTGTCGGGTTCACTTCTTTCAGATTTGAATACTCTTGGGTAAATTCCTCGCTTCTCCACTGAACAACATAGCATTAGAAAGACCATCTTTTTTCCTTACCAGAACAAGCTGCAACAAACAGCAATATTATGTTACATTTCAAGACTCAAACTCACATTTAAAGAAAGAAAAAATACTCACCTTATATACCCAGAAACAGTAACCAATCAACTTCGTGAAGCCTAAAACTTCACCAAACTTAGGAGGCATTTGTTCAACACCACTTCTTGCAAAGAGCAAATTTCTAGTTGTTTTTTTAAAACTTTGTTTTTTTTTTAAGTTTATGAAATGTTATGCGAAAAATCTATCAATTTTTTGCAAGAACTTCCTCCAAAGGACACCTTAACATTCGGATAATAGCAAGTGAAAAAAAAAAACTAAAAATCACCGGCTTCAAAAAAAAAAAATTCAAAAGCTTAAAATGTTGAAGTCAAATTTGTGAAACCTGAATGTTCAAAGGCAATGGCGGGCAGCAATGAGAAACAGGCCAAGTGCGAGAGCTTGTGGACGGAATTCGAGCCCTAATTCAGTTTTCTCTCTTGATTCCCTTTAGGCCATAAATAATTGTGTTTGATTCATTTTATATTTGAGGTATTTGATTAGCAGGTAGTTTAAGGGAGAAAGAAACATTCTTTGTGCATACTGAAAGTATATTCAAATGAAAAAATACCATATAGGAAACTATACCCTCAATGTTTAAGGTTTGATATAATTACATTTAGTATACCTAATTACCAATTCTATACCATAAGTTGTTTTAACTATACATTAATTATACCTTATATTACTCCTAAATTAATGGTACCGTATATTCCTCCATATACCCCCACGACACACATACGATTCAAACCATTATTCCTTCTGCTAAAACCAGAAAAACAAAGGTAACCATCTACCATTAACGTCCAAAATCAAGGTTTTTCTCGTACAAAACCAGTCAAAATTGAAGTCAAATCTTCAAAGTTCATACACATTTACCTTCAGCTTCAAATTTTCTCAATGAAGAAGAACAAATCTTCAAAACACAACCCTAAAGAAAATCTAGAATCTAATGTACCTTCTTTCGATTTGGGTGTATTATCACCACATTCACCCAAAAAAACAAGAGAAATCTGCACATGCAATTGTAGATATGAAACATAGTGTTTCTCCGCGTCAAATCAGGGCTAAAGCTAGAACTAAACAAAAACATGATTTCGATGTTGGAGAATCTTCGAGGCCAATCAAACAAGCGGATAGGAAACAAAAAGAGATAGTGTCCGATGATGATTTTGTAGAAGATGTGTGTCACGACCCAATTCCTCGAATTCGATCGTGATGGCGCCTCTCGTGAAGACAAGGCCAGTCAGACCAAAACAGACCACCTCTTTTAAACAGTTAAATACCATAAGTAGTTCTAAAACGTGATATAATAACCATAATTTGCAGAATTAACGATAACAACAGTAGAAACCATCCCGATACAGCCCAAACCGGGGTGTCACAAGTCATGAGCAACTAAGAAATCCGGATACAAGTCTACTGAACACTAAATCCGATACAATAGTTCTAAAAACATGAAAATGATAAGATAAGGGAGGCACGGGACTGCGAACGCCAACAACTACCTCGTAGTCTCCAAATCACTGCCTGGACTGGGAGAATCAACACTTAGGAGCGGACTCTGTGATGCCTGAATCTGCACACATGGTGCAGGGAGTAATGTGAGTACTCCGACTCAGTGAGTAATAATTATAAATAATGGCTAAAAGTATGAAAACACGTAAAGGCACAAAGCAATTCCATATCAAGCAGTAAAATCACTTAAAGCAGTAATCAGTGAAGAAATCAAATGATATCCCTTTTTTTAAACAGGTAATTTAAAAGGTAAATAACAAGTAGAAATCCGCCTTTCGGGCATAGTATCAATTGCTCAGAACAGTATCAGCCCCTCGGGCTCACTCTCAGTACAGTATCAGCCCCTCGGGCTCAGTATCAATCACTTAGAACAATATCAGCCCCTCGGGCTCACTCTCAGATCATAATGGGTACCCACGCTCACTATGGATGTGCAAACTCCGGAGGGGCCCCTTACGGCCCAAGCGCTATATCAATCCATCTCGTGGCATCATCACTCGGCACTCGGCCTCACATCACTCAAGCCACCTCATGACATATAAAGTATCTCAGGCTCTCGGCCTCATATCACTCAGCATATCCTCACATATGGTCATCGGCCTCACTCAGTCCAAAAATCATCACAAGCCCCTTGGGCATTAGTAAAATAGTAGTTCTCAGCCCAAAACATGATGTAGAAATATCATTTAAGTTTCAAATCTGAGTAAAAGTGGCTGAGTTTGTAAAACAGTAGATATCAACAAGACTGAGTTCAAATAATAAGTCAAGCAGTGAGGGAAACAGTGATAAAAATCCCCGAAGGGTTCAAATAGTTGGCATGAAGCCCAAATATGGCAATCACCCTAAATCATAATGATAACAAATGAGTTTAAGTCAAATACGCGGTAAAATCACCAATCAGGACGAACCAAGTCACAATCCCCAGTAGTAAAAGACTCCACGCTCATCATCCAGAGCATATCTTGCCGCAATATAGCACTACGATGTGCAAACTGGGGTTTCAAACACTCAGGACATCATTTACAACCATTACTCACCTCGAACCGGCTAATTCTCTAGCTCGCGACGCCTTTGCCCCTCAAATTGGCCTCCACGCGCGTCGAATCTATCCAAAATCAGAACGAATACGTCACAATATGCCAAGGGAACAAAGCCCAAGCGAAAACATTCGAAAAATATCAGAAATCCCGAAATTAGCAAAACCCGAGCCCTGGGCCCACGTCTCAAAATCGGATAAATTTACATTTTCAGAATTCCCATACCCTCACGAGTCTAACCATAACAAAATTATCCAATTCCGATATCATTTGGTCCTTCAAATCATCATTCTACATTTTTGAAAGGTTTCACAATTTTCTTCCCGAATTCCATCCCAAATCACGAAATAAATGATGAATATAGTGATAGATTCATGTATTCTAGGCAAATCTAAGTTAAAATCACTTACCCCGATGAATTTCTTGAAAAACCTTCGAAAAATCGCCAAAATTCGAGCTTTCTAGGTCAAAATATCAAATAAAACCCAAAACCTCGTATTTATAGAGTACCCCTTAGATTTCAACCTCCGCGGGCCACACAAAACCGACCGCGGTCCGCACAAACCAGTGTGGTCCGCACAAAAATGACCGCGGTCGCACAACTTTCCTCTACAGTGACAGGCTTTAGTATTTTGGTCATAACTTTTGCTACAAATGTCCAAATTACAATATCTTTCCCTTTCTAGAAACTAGACACGAAGGGCTACAACTTTTGTTTTTGAATCATCTCATAATTCCTTGTAAATCGAAAGATATGAACTTCTGAAGTTGGACCGACGACCTGCGAATCTTCATGATCGCGGATCGCGGACCATTTTCCGCGCTCAGCACCAAAACTTCTGCCCCCATCCATTTTCTAAGTACAGGAATGTCCGGACTCTCTTAAAACTCACCCGAAACACACCTGAGGCCCTCAAACCTCAACCCAAACATACCAACACCTCCCATAACATCATTAACACCTTGTCGAGCTTTCGAATCACTCAAAAAAGAACATCAAAACACCAAATCAACTTCGAATTCAAGCTTAAGAACTTAGAAATTTCAAATTCCACAAACAACGCCGAAACCTATCAAATCAGGTCCGATTGACCCCAAATTTTGCACACAAGTCATAAATGATATAATGGAGCTATTCCAACTTCTTGAGTCGGATTTTGATCTCGATATCAAAAAGTCAATTCCTCGGTCAAATTTCCAAACTTCGGCTTCTCATTTTCGCCATTTCAAGCCTAATTAAACTACAAACTTCCAAAAAAAAATCCGGGCACGATCCTAAATCCAAAATTACCATACGAAGCTAACCAAATCATAAAAATTCCGATCCAAGATCATATACAAACAAGTCAAATATTGGTCAAAACTTTCAAATTTTAAGCTTTCAACTAAGACTGTTCTTCCAAATTAAATTCTGATTAACCTAAAACCCAACACCAACGATTTACATAAGTCATAATACACCAACGAGGCAAGTCATGCCCGAGAACTGGCGAGTAAAGTGCAAAAGCTCAAAACGACCGGTCGGGTCGTTACATCCTCCCCCACTTAAACATACGTTCGTTCGCGAACGTGCTCAGAGTTGTTCCAAAAGCTAACCAATCGCTGAATAACCTTACCATGCATATACCGGGGGGTGATCCCACATCACCCTATCTCACATAGGTCCGATAACACACAATAACTGAAATTTCACAACCCAATCTAACCCATAAGCCTTAGAACCATATTTCCACTTCTAAAATCATTCACAAGATCAGAATCTCACATTTATGTTCAGAATAAGCCTGAACCAGCTGTAATCACCCATACTTGCAATCTCAGGTGCAATCACTTGATATACCACATGACTCAAACACTCGTAGTGATAACTTCTAATTATAACAGCTGCACACAACAAACGAATACCGATAGAAAAACTCTTATCAACTAAAGTCTCACCCCAATACTTTCATATACTGCCAATGATCACTAAAACATGTGGTAAGCCATAACCATTTCCCAGAACAACCATTCAAGAAGTCACTCCTCCTTTGGCAAATACCACAGCAAATTTTTGAGCTGAAGCTCGATATTATCCTTTCAACATACTGAAATCAAATCCGTTTGCAGTAATTAAATACCCCGACAGTCTCATCTAATCTAACACAACTACTCTTGTGACATTGACACCTCAATATAGACTAAAGCCACAATTTGTGCAATCCGTGCACCAATAAGCCACAATCTGAACCTACTCAATTCCTGAAAAATGACTCAAATGAAAGAGTTGTACTGCAAGCTCACTAGTACCACCACACACAATGCCGAGAACCCGTATCACATCATAAAAACAGAACACACAAATCTAACCCATAGGATCATACCTCCCCATAGCTTCGCTCCAACGCGCGACCTCATCCAAACATTGATCCACGGGAAAACACCTTAAGTCACTCTTCTCAAAATCGACAATGGTGCGCAATATGATGGCTAAAACCAAAGCAATCATCATAACCACCGCGAAGCAATTGATATAACGTTACACATACCCGAAGGGACACAACCGATACGCTACCCGCCGAGCAATACCCGATACTCTACCCGCTCGAATTCCACTAAGAGGGCCCAATAACGCTGCACCACATGTGCCTATAACCAACAAACCTTAATGCCTTGCAACATGGAAAGATAACTCATAGATCCCTGTGATTACTAATAACTCAATAACAACCGAATCAACACATCTCTCACCATTGGCAACTCGAAGTCAACCAAACCGTCGTGATACAGAACACACACATCCATATAGGTCTACCAATGAACCACACATCAAGTCTAGTCACACACAACAGATAAATAATCCTCTGAAGGTTCACAACGACTGAATCATAGCACATACTACCCTCTGACCAACCTTAGCTATTTTCTCACAGTCCACAACTGCAATACCTATGGTGTATTATTAACTCAATCACATT